GCTGGCTGGATCAGCCTCACCTCCCCAGCAAGTCTAAGTGTGTCTACAGCTGTGGACCCTTGTCAGGCCCCATTTGGCTCAGGGAGGTCTGATGAGGACCTGAGCTCAGTATGAGGCTTCTGCCCTCCGTCTGCAACTCCTGAAGGATTGGGATACTCACTGGCCTGGAAAGCAAACATGGAACCCTACCCTCAAGCCCGATCACACCCTCCTGAGAGTTGTAAGAAAGTTGTTAACTCTCCTGCAAAGAGAATCTTCACATAAGGGGTGGAAGGCAAGTGACACATCAGACTTTGGCCTCAAGGTTCAGCTTCCCCTTTGGGTCTTTTCTCACTGATTCCCGCAGCCACCACCAGGCTGGCCTTTGGGAGCCTCGTTCTCCACTTCTAAGGCTCCAGGTCAAGTGTGCTCACCCAACCATCCTTCAATACGAACAACCCAGTGGAAGCCAGGCTGCAGTGTTAGATCAGGCTTTAGGAAAGGTTTTTGAGTAACAGCACAAAACGTGGCATGAACCTGGATTGCTGGAATGGCAAAGAAGCTGTTCCTCAGCTCTAGCCTGGGAGCCACTTAATGGCACCTCCCTGAATCCAGGGTTCACTTTAACCTGGGCTACCAGGGATCATCCTCCGGGTCATTTAGATGCCATGAAGTCTTTTTTTTAATTTATTTATTTTTGGCTGCATTGGGTCTGTTGCTGCGCGCAGGCTTGCTCTAGTTGCGGCGAGCAGGGGCTACTGTTCGTTGTGGTGTGCGGGCTTCTCATTGCGGTGGCTTCTCTTGTTGCGGAGCACGGGTGCTAGGCGTGCGGGCTTCAGTAGTTGTGGCACGTGGGCTTCAGTAGTTGTGGCGCATGGGCTTCGTTGCTCCGCGGCATGTGGGATCTTCCTGGACCAGGGCTCGAACCTGTGTCCCTTGCATTGGCAGGAGGATTCTTAACCACTGCGCCACCAGGGAAGCCCTGCCATGAAGTCTTGACCAAAGGAGTGAGGTCAGGAAAGGCAGAAGTGTCCTATCCTGCCTAAGCCCCACCTTTGAGTTCCCAATTTTGGAGAACCTCTACTTCTCCAAATAATTGAAACTGGAATGGCCATTAATTCATTCATTGAACAAGTATTTATTGAGTACTTACTAAGCTAGGGGATGGAATAATATAATGAACAAATGGGCGTGTCACCTTCCCCTTAAAGCTCATACCTGTCCATAGGACTTGGCCTTAACATGAACTCCATGGCCTAGAACCATCATTCAACTTCAGTAACAGGAACTTGGGCTTTTAAGCCAGGCACATGGAGTAGCAGGATGGGTGCTGCTGCTTCCTGACCATTTTCCAATGTCTTGACCCCAAAGAAAGCTGGGTCTGGGGCCCCTGAGAAGGAGTTAAAGAGAGGGGTATCGGGAAACAGTAAGGAGGAACTTTGCCTTGTGGCCACAGTGTGACCACCAACGGCAGAACATGACAATTCCGACCAGACACAGGATCACATTACTGTCTGACTGATGGGTACTACACGAACATTAGTGCTAGCAGTCTCGGTTCCTCCCACCCCATGGGCCTGGCGAGAGTGTGAGTACGAGGGGGGTGAGTGATAGATGAAGAGGTAAGTACCGTTAACATAGTACTACTCAAAGAGTAGTCCATGGACCTGCAGCATCACATTATTTGGGGGCTTGTTAGAAATGCACATTCTCAGGCCTCACCCCAGACCTACCGAATTAGAATCTTGGGGTGGGGCGGGGAGAAGGAAACTATTAAGAAAAACTCTCCAGGCGATCCATATGCACACATAAGCTTGAAAAGTACTACTGCCGCACTGTGTGCATGTGTGAGCTCACATATTTACTACAGGGGAAGATGATAATTATGGCAGTTCCCATTTTTTTAATATCTGCTATGTGCCAGACACTTTTATCTAAGTTTAAATACCTTACCTTACATAACCTTCACAGCAACCCCTTGAGACACTTTTATTGTCCTGGTTTTTGCAGGTGAAGAGATTATAGTTAAGATAACTGCCTGAGTCATTTAATCTTTAGGAGACTTTCCTTGCCTGTGGGTAGGAGACAACGTCTTGCCTCCCCGGTTGCTGTGAGGATGAGACAATGTATGGAGGTCCACCCACATGGTGTGATGGGCTCAGACCTGGCACTGCTGCAGCCCCAGGGACTGGCCCACAGTGGGGAAAGGCATAGGCGTTGTTGCTATCTCCAACTTGTGGTTCAGTTGGAGACCTGCCCAGAGCGCCTGCAAGCCCTGACCTCACTTGGCACTAAGTCAGCTTCACCTGCTATCAAGTTCTGTTTACCTGTCAAGGGAACCTATGTTCTCGTTTCTGATTCTATTCCTAGTTGATGACAACAAAATCTATGTTTCGGATGATGCTGGGTCTTGGAAGGCAGCTGCTCTGAAGGTTGAGGGTACTGGAAAATAACTTCCAGCTAGATCTAGGCTCCCAAGGAGAGAAATTAATGCATTTCTCTTAGATGAAACAGAAGGGGAAGACCTTTGGTTTGAGAGGCCACTGTAGCGACCTTATTACTACAGGGATCATCCCCACCAGCCTCTTACTAACTGCTGAATACCCACCATGTTCCAGGGACTTAAGAGGCACTATCTCTGCTTCACATCAACCTGCAAGGTAAGCATCACCCACAGTTCTGCCCCTTTGCCACATGACAAAAATACAGGTTTGGAATCAGATCTGAATTCATCACTTACAGTTGCGTGAGATTGGAATATCTCATGTAATTGTTGAATTAAAGGAGAGAATGTATGTATAACTCAAAACACACAGTAGGCACTTTATAAGTGTTACTCCCCTCACGTCTTCTTTCCTGTGCTGTGCTATGCCTGACCCTGTGGTGGGCACAGGAGGACAGCAATGACTCAGACCAAGTCCCTTCCTCCTTGGGGTTGAGATTTCCCTCTTCTGTATACAGACTGGGACATTCCTTAGTAAGGGAGCAAAAGGTCTGCGGCAAAGTCAAAAGGTTGGGCAAAATTATGCGGCCTGTGGTTTGCTAAGGATGTGACAGAGATGAGGCAAGATGGCTGTGCAGCCTTGGAGTGCCCTCCTCAGTGGGCCCTGCCTTCCACCCCTCCATCTATCACCCTCATTTTCAGCATTCTACTATCCAGTGTTGCCAATGAAGAACAATGGGTGAAAGGTCATTCATCCCCTATTTACATGAAATCGCACTATTTCCTCGAACGCTTTTGAGGACTCACTAGGTCATCAGATCCACACAACTCCCTGGTGAGTGGCGGGGCTAGGAGCATGCTCCTGCTGTAGCTGAATAAATGGGTTCCCAAGGAGGGCCAGTGGCTGACACAAAATCACCCGTCAAGTCAGTGTCAACCCAGAGACCCTGGACTCCTGCCTCCTCCTAATCCAGTCTTTCCTCCATTCTATCCTAGTGTCTCTCCTGGTAATGCACCCTTTTGGTAACACTGTCAATCAAACTCTAGTAGACTAGACTGAAGGTTAATTTCTCGTGGCTTGTAGTTCTTCTCCAGGTAGTGACTAACAGGTTGTAGTAACAACTAATCAAATTTTCTCTGAGTATGGGTAGTTATATTCTTCTGGCTGCAAGCTGTATACATCCAGCCCAAACTGGCTTAAGAAAGAACATAATAATCAAACGATGGTTGGGGGTTATAGGTTCCCATGACAGGGAGGACCCTAGTGGATATCATCAGGACTGTTGCGGCCTGGCTCCAATTCTTTCAGGCTTCTGCCGCATCATCCACCGGCCAAGGAGAAGGTGGCTATCTGTGTTTCCAAGCCTCCGACCTCTCAGTTTAATGCTTCCGGTAGAAAAGAGAGCTTATCTGAAATGGTATTCTTTTTCCTTTGGATCTGCTATTACTAAATCCCTAAGAAGGTAGGGGAAAAAAATCTCTTAAGATACTAAAACTCTAGAGCGGTTTGAACGTTGGAATTCCCAAAAGGTGTAGTAACAATACGTACCAAAGTTAAAACCCTGGCATCAGCTCTTTTGTACTCTGTTTTGGTATACGTTTTATACTCATTGGATTTATGTATGTTTTAGCTACTATATGTTCAAAAGGATCAACTACACTAAATTTGTAACTGGTATTTATGTTTAAGCCAGTTTAATCGAATTTGCCATTGTTTCAATATTCAAGAGGTTTTCAATGTTTTATTGAATGAGTTTAATAAATTGAGCACTAAAGTTTATGTAGTAGTGCGTATTCCTCTCAAGCTCAGAGGTCCTTCAGACATTAAGCAATCTAAAAGAACACACAAAAATAAAATAGATCACTGGATTTTAAAAAAATGATTATATAAATAATTTTTGTAAAACAATTTTAAGAGGTAAATTAGCAGTTCTCCAAACTTCATTTATTCTTTCATCTTTATATAACTCAGTGTTATGATGAAAGGTAGGCCCATTTGAAAGCTTGTCAGTAGTCAATTTGTTTGAAGAGGAGCAGACTGACCTACTGATAGAACTTGAGTTATGTGGAAACATTTGTCGAAATTCAGCCAGTGCATTGAGCATTTCAATGGAACAAACAGTCAAGTAAAAATCATGAGTTAAGTTAAAGCTATCACCCCACTTCATTGAGGTAAACATTTGTGGACTCTCCAGCTTCAATTTGAGAACCTCAAGGTTATTTTCAAAATAGAAAAAGACGTGCAGTGACAGCATGGGGCTGGTGTCAGACAGGGGTGATTCTGTGCATCCTAGTTCCTCCACTTAATAGCTAGTATGTAATATGCAACCAAACCAGTCATGCTAATCTCTGTCCTGCTTCCCTCAGTAGGTAACTATGTTCAAATGACAATGTGTAAAAATGCAAAGGATTATTATTAATAAGATTTTCTGAAAGTAAAAGTTCTTATGAAAAGCAAGAAAGTGCTTCAAAATCCATTTTTTGAAAGAAGCTGGCTACAAACTAGATGTAAGTATTAGGATGATAATCAACTCAGTTTCTTTAACAAAAGCAACAAAAATCAGAAACAGTAGCCATCAGAATAAAGCTCTTTATTCACCTTCCTTGTTTCAAAGAGTCATGGTAGTTCTTACAGTACAGAGAGCATTTCTGGCACGTGGTAGCACAGAACCAAGGCACGCTCAAACACGCTGAGCCCCAGCATCTCCCTGGAGGAGTGACAGTTACAGAAAACCCAATCAGGGACAGAGGGGACATGCCAGTGAAATGGGAACCCCAGGTCAAGGCTTGGCTTTAGACTTGGGCTGTGAACCTGGGACCTCCAGGCAGGACCAAGCTCAAGCCAGAGAGCAGCTCATTCCCAGGAAGTACTGTGACTGGCCTGGATACAGGCCCCCACAGAGAAGACTCATTTAGGACAAGTGCTCAGCAGGCTGAGAGTGCAAGCCACCGAGGGACACAACATGCTTCTCCCTTGGGGAAACTTGCCCTGGCCTCTCACTTAGCTCCGGAAGGCCAAGGGCCTTTGACTTATTGTCCATTCAGCGTAACTTTACTGCTGTCTATTCTGTGCCAGGCCCTGTGCCGGGTGCAGAGGACAAAGAGAGGAGTCAGACACAGTCCTTACTTTCAGGGAATTCAGAATATGAAAGAAAAATCATGTATTTATAAGTAAGTCGTTGTGACTCAAGGTAAAAAGGATGCAGAAAGCAGTCAGACAAACTTGGCCCTCGAGGAGTTCACAGCCTAGCAGAGGCCTAGGCTAGGTAGCAACACGGACAGTAACACGGGGCAGCCTGTGATAAGGACCAAAGAGAGGCTCAGGCCGTGTGCTCTGGCAGCACAGGGAAGGATGACACAACAGCCAGTGGATGACACAGTGGGGAAATTTCACAGCTTATCAGAGAAGACTGAGTAGCCTAATCTGGCCTAAGTGGAAGTAGTGAATCCTACTGCCTCGGGGAGGGGATTGTGCAGCCTCCGGCTGACCTCTGTAGGTCCCTTGGGCTGCTCAACAGGCAGGGTGCAAGGTCTCTTATCTGTGGATGCAGCTGCATGACGTCCTGTGGATATCTGAGGGGAGACTGGTGACCAGGAGGAACAGGTCCAAATAACGAGGGCCCATGGTAAAGGTTAGGAGCCTAGGAGTGAGTGAACCAGGACGGCCTCTGGGGTCAAAGGACCACAGTCTACACAGTCCTCTCTTCATGCGCTAGATTAGCGACCTCCAGTCTGCTTTCCTCTTTTCTTCCTTTTCCTTCTTTTCTTCACAGCTGCCATCACCTGCCCTATCTTTTCCATTCTCCCAACCTGACAGTGGCTGAAATGGGCTCAGTTAGGGGGCCAGTATCATGGTATAGGTCCCAGGGCCCTGAAGACCTTGGGTAACTGACACTAACAGAGTTGGAGTGCCTGCAGCTGTTTTTGTTGGTCACCTGGCACAGAGACAGCTTAAAGTTACAGGGCTGGGTCGGAACTTGTCTGCAGCCTAACAAGTGTGGGCCTCTTTCCCTTCCCACACATTTCGGGGACTAGCTGCAGCCTGTTGTCATTTCTTCTTCACAGCGGCCACCACCTACACCATCTCTCCAGCCTGGGCTTCATGTTTGCACCCCTTTCTCTCCCTTCCTAAAGGTGTTAGGACTCCTACCTGTTGTTCTTTTCCTTCACAGCTGCCATCACCCCTCTGTTCCTCTCTCTAATCCTCATTCCGGATTACCCCTGTCCCCAGTCCTCATTTGTGGCTATTTGTGAAATATGCACATAGCCCCTGCGCCTATTAAGAGTTTCATTGCTAGGCACCAAAGAGAAGCAAACATGAAGCAAAGGGGAAGGAGAAAGGGGAGGGCAATTTAGAGATGGATGGACTTCTTACGAGAACTGGACATCTGTGGTCCACACTGACTCATGTGACTGAGCTCCCTTCTTCGACTCCCTTCTTGGATGGCCCCAAAGAAGTCTTCGTATTCTCATTTTCTCCATCCTTTAGCTCTGGTTTTAGAACTTAGCCACCTTCCCTATTCCTGTCTATTTGGGGTATGGTGCCCATGACAGCTTTGCTGAACATGGAGCTTCCACTAGTCAGGAGGGGACTGCCCTTCAGTCCTCTCCCCTCCCCAGCTCCTCCCTGTACCACCGACTCCGCCCACTCCCAAAGCCCCATCCCCTCCACTTGCCAACCTGACAGAGGCCTTCTCTTATAGTGGCTTCAATATAAAGAAGTACAGATGAGTATTCATTATTTCACCCAACAACTGAAGGTCCTACAGGCCAGGATAAATGTAAACACCCTTTAGTAGGCAATTAGGAGCCACGAATGATTTTCAACCAGGGAGTGGCAATAGAAAGTATCTCACATTATGCCTAGACCCTCAATTATAGAAATATTTAGATAAATGTATAAATGAGTGAATGAATAATCATAACTGTGTATTGGGAAGATAACTTCAGCAAATGTATGAGAGGCTAAGGGGATTTTTAAAAGCCCCTCTAAGCCCTGGGCTTAAGCCATACGCTAAAGTAGGTGAAGTTAATCTCTACTTCCATCCTGTAGGACTCTCTGCCATCTGACTGGTATGACTGCAACCCCTAGCCTCCTAGGCTGTGTTCCATGACTAAGACTTGCTCTCCAGGGTCATTACTCAGCACGAAATATATTTACCTGATGCCTGTTTACGGCATTATCCGCCCAAAATAGGGACAAAAAAAGATATCTCTCATGACAGAATATCTGTCACAGTAACAGGCTCATGGGGGAAACAATCAAAAGTAAGAGCGACCATCTGCTTTCGTCTGAGAGAACCAGCACGGGCAAAGTTCAGCCCCAAATCTATTAGACAAAGAGGCATCCCTACTTCCCCAACAGTGATTCCAGTAGGTCCGAACAAATACGCCTGATTCAGAGCTTTGGGAGTCCAGAGACCTTCCTAATGGTGAAGACCTTCTCCATGGGTAAAGGAGTGGCTGGGCCAGGACAACATTCTGAGACAAGCAAACTGAGAAAGCCAGCAGCCTGGGCAAGCTCTGGGGCAGATGACTCCAGGCACAATGAGGATACAACTAAGACAGTGACATCAGGAGCTACCATCACCCCAAGTTACAGCCCAGCATCTACAACCTACCCTACCAGCTGCATTTATTTTCTTGGCTTTTCTCCCTCTTCTAGCCCCATAAACTGTGAACTCCTTGAGGGCAGAGACTGTGGGAAGTTTTGTCCAATGCTTTAAAGTCCTAACCCATGTCCATTTCCCATCAAGAACTATCCTAATAAATGAACTTCAAGTTGATCCTTCATAGGAGTCATGCCATCAGAAACAATAAGTACCATCATCAAGGACCACTGACATTGAGCTTCTCATTTTCTCCCTAGGAGATAATGCTTTCTGGATAAGGGAAGGTTGAGTAGAGCTGCAAAGCTGGAGAAGGTAAGTGACCTCATGATTCTACTATTTTGCCCAATTCCTCTAGAACAGTGAGCCTGTAGAGCTCTGAGCATGATTAGAAGGATGTGTGTGTTTTTGTTATTAAAAACAGAACAATCCACCCACATCTTCCTTTGTGCCATGACACCTGCTTGCAACCTCATACTTGGATGAGTGGCGAGTCATTTGAAAAGCTGAGTCCTCTGACTTCCATTTTGAGATAAGAGTCCTATATGCAGCCAGGACTTGCTGATCAGGGAGCATGCAGGCGCTCTGCCTTTCCTAGGGATGGGAAGAAGAGAAACCACAAACCCAATCCTCTCATTTTACAGATGGAGACCTGAGGCCCACAGAGTACAGGTGACATGCCCAAGGTCCCAAAGCAAGCCAGTGGAAAAGCCAGGACTGCATCATGGTCTCTCAACTCACACTTCAGCGCCCTCTCGACTGCAGTAGCTATGGCAAAATTTTCGTTTTGCTCTTTGGAGAAGTGAAGGAAGGTAGGGAGCAGAATATTACGTTTTTGGATTCTCTGCAGACTTCAGTAACCTCTGTTACCCTGGCCTCCACTGTCCTGGCTGTGGTTGCCTCCTATGGTAGCCCTTCGATGGGAAGTTGGGTCCTAAGCCAATCAGTTTTGAGTTGGCTCAGAGTTCCTACCAGGGCTGGTACTGTCCCCTTGCACGTGGCTCAGGACCTCTCGGTCTGTAAACAGGCGGAAGGCAATCTGCTCACACTCCCGCTTGGTCCCACATTCAAACAAACACCCAAACAAGCCCTCCTTCTCCAGAGCCGCCAAATCAGAGTAGCCACAGGGCCCGCAGTGCAAGATCCAGGGACGGGACCAGCAGGCAGCCTCCAACGGGCTCTGGTTGAGATAGATGCCTAGGTCGGCCCTCCGGTTCTTACTGGTTGGGTGTGAGTACAAGAGCCATGATTCTGACAGGGTTCTAGCTTCTGGCTCTACCCTCAGTGAGCTGTCCAGCAGATGGCTCTGCTGAATGGTAGGAGCATCTTTGCCAGCAGGGTGCTGGCACCCGTTTGGGATCTCCAGGGACCGGAAACTCACCACACTGCCTTGGCAGCCATGAGGGGGCTCACAGAGCTGTTGGCTCAGAGCTGGTTTCTGAAAGCATTCACCGTGGTCGGTGCTGAGAGCCTCCGCCCGGCACCTGTTTGGTGTCCGGGCACTGCAATACAGCACAGCGTGGCCAGCCTTCCCAGTTACCTCTGCCACTTCGCACTCCACTGTCACCATGGGCTTAATAAGCCTGCCATGGTGCCATGTGGCTCCTAGGTCATCACTATAGATCATCAGGGAATGAGGCCTGGCTTTATATGGTAGCCGAAAGCAAAAGAACCGGTAAGGGATGTAGTAGGCGTATGCAGGGATGATCAGCCTCCCCGACTGCAGCTGGATGCCATGACCTGGGCCCACAGCAAACGTGGCCCAGTGCTCCACCTCTGGGCCAATGACCTCCTCGGTCAGGTCCCTCACCTCGCTCCATGAATAGCCAGCATCCTGACTGCAGATGAAGCAGAGGCGGGCAGCATTCCTGCCTGACACAATCTGTCGACGCTCAGTGACATGGCCCCGCACACAGATGAAGAATAGGTACACACGGCCACTCTTCTGCTCCCACACAGGACAGGGGTTCATGGTCCGATGCCCAGGTAATGTGGCTTCCATCAGTGGCTTCAGGGGTTCCCACTAGACAAGGGGAAGGGAGAAAGAGCAGGAGTGAAAGACTAATAGGAAGACATGAGGCTCATTAAAAGCATTAATACTGGGGACTTCTCTGATGGTCCAGTGGTTAAGAATCCGCCTTCCAATGCAGGAGATGCGGGTTCAATCCCTGGTCGGGGAACTAAGATCCCACATGCCGCGGGGCAACTAAGCCTGTGCGCCACAACAAAAGATGCGCATGGAGAGATCCCGCAACAAAAGATCCTGCGTGCCTCAACTAAGACCCGATGCAGCCATAAATAAATAAATATTTTTTAAAAAAGCATGAATACTTCTCAGAGATAAGAAATAAATGGTACTGAAATCTATAAAATCATGAAGGCCCAAGTGTTCACTGCATTCTCAAATATTATAGGATAACTTATCAGCTGCAAAGAGGCAATGCTAGGTGTTGCACATGCTGTCCCCTCTGTCTGGAACACTCTTCTGTACTTTGTCTACATGCCCAATTCATCATCCAAAACTCAACTCAAAGTCACCTCCTTTATGAAGCCTTGCATGAGGTTCCCTCCCAACCCTTACCAAAGACAGTCGGTTCCAGATCACCGCAATAAAGCGAATGTCGCCATAAAGTGAGTCACACGGATTTTTTTGGTAAATTTATATTTACACTAGGCTGTAGTCTATTAAGTGTGCAATAGCATTATGTCAAAAAAAAATAAACAATGTACATACCTTAATTTAAAAATACTTTATTGCTAAAAGAATGCTGACCGCCATTCAGCAAGTTACAGTCTTTCTGCTGGTGGAGGGTTTGAAATACCGCAAGAATTACCAATATGTGACACAGAGACTCAAAGTGAGCAAACGCTGTTGGAAAAATGGTGCCGACCTGCTTGATGCAAAGTTGCCAAAACTTCAGTTTGTGACAAACGCATTATCTGTGAAGCAGAGTAAAGCGAAGTGCAATAAAATGAGGGATGTCTGTAATTTTTTATGTGCCTGGCTCCCTTCCTAGATTATGAGTCCTTTGAAGGTAAAAACCAAATTATTCTGATTTTGTATTGCCAGTGCCTAGCACATGATAGGAGCAAAATAAATATTTTTAAAAAGAAAGGACACCTCCCCCCCAAAAAAGAAAGAAAGAGAGAAAAGAAAGGCCAACACATAGGGAAGTTTTAGGCAAATAAAGGGAAATTTAAGACAAAGATTTTTTTTCCTTCCTCTACTACCCCAGGAGGCAATTCATAACGACGTCATTAAAAACTCAAGCATGGAGTCAGAGACACCTAGTTCAAACCCCACCTTCACCACTCATCACGTGATCTTGGGCAAGTTACTCAATCTCACTTCACCTCCATTTCCTCATCAATTAAATGGAGGATGTGATAACATGCTCACAGAGGGGATGTAAGGATAAAATGAAATAATGCCTAATCAGACATACCACAAAGACCTAATTTCTTTAATATATTTTTAAAACAATATTAGAAATTGGTAAGAAAATTTCCAAAAACCTCAACAGAACTGGGCAAAGAGCAAGATCAGACAACTCAACAGAAAGAGAAGAAAAAATGAAAATGTGAAGGAAAAGGACTTCCTATTACAACAAACCAGGTAATTTGAACCAAACTTTCTACTGAGAACTAGGATAGATAAAAAAAAAGTTAAGACAAAAACATCATTTGAAAGCACAAGAGAGCACACAAGGCCATGAAGAATTATAGGCCAAGAACTGAAAGTTCATTCAGAGTGGCTGACGTGGTATCTTGAGTACCTTTTCCCCTCAGGTATCTCTACTAATTCTCAAAGAGGTAACTGAAAAGCTGAGAAGCCAAGCAACTCATCTGACAGCCCTACGGGGCTAGTAGGACAAAAATTAGAGGCCCTGGTAAACCCACCAGGCTTTGAGTTGGAACCTTAAAGGGCTAAGTCCCAGAAGTGCAGGTGAAACTGGAGTAGACCAGCCCTCACAACCACCACTCTAGAAAACTGGCTGGCATTACCTACTAAAGTAGAATATAAACATACCCTATAATCCAGTAACGCCATTTCTAGATATCAACCCAGCAAAAAGCATGCACATAGTACTGAAAAACACATGCAGAATATTCAGAGCTGCAGTGTCTATACACATAATCACTAACCTGAATTGGCAACAACAGCAGAACGGATCAATTCATGGTGTATAGTCATACAATGGAAAATTATGTAACAATGAAAATGAACAAATAAAGCTGTATACAACAATCTGGATAAACCTCAAGAATACTGAACAAAAGAAGCCAAACATAAAGAGTCCATGGATTAAAACCAAGCAGAACTCTAGAGCTGTAAATCAGGCTAGTAATTACCTTTGGGGAAGAAGAGGGGGAATGAGAAGCTTCTGAGGTGCTGGCACTATTCTATTTCTTGAGCTGAGTGTGAGTCCACAAGTGTTGACTTTGTCAATTCACAGAGCTGACATTTATGTTTCGTGCATCTGACAATTATGTTTTCTGTATCTGTTATCACTTTACATGAAAAACATTTTTAAGGTAGTATTAAGACTATATACTTAGACTTCTCTGGTGGCGCAACGGTTAAGAATCCGCCTGCCACCACAATGTAATAACTCTAATAGTTACATAACTGTGGAGTTACAGAGTTCACTGAGATTGGTTATGTTGTTTGACTTCATTCATTTATATAAAAAACATATATATTGTCCACCTTTAACATAAAAGACACTGTGAAGGCTTCTCAAGATGTAATGTTTAGAATATATTAAAGTTACTCCATCTTTAGTCTAATGTTATAAATTAATTAACACAGAAAGTACAGTGTTATAATCAGTTGCCTCATATCCTGTCTGGAAAGGGGTTAAAAAAAGAATCCGCCTGCTAACACAGGGGACAAGGGTTTGAGCCCTCAGCCAGGAAGATACCACATGTCGTGGAGCAACTAAGCCCATGTGCCACAACTACTGAGCCTGCACTCTAGAGCCTGTGAGCCACAACTACTGAGCCCGCATGCCACAACTACCGAAGCCCGTGCACCTAAAGCCTGTGCTCTACAACAAGAAGCCACTGAAATGATAAGCCTGCACACCGCAACGAAGAGTAGCCCCCGCTTGCTGCAACTAGAGAAAGCCCGCACGCAGCGACCAAGACCCAGTGCAGCCAAAAATAAATCTAACATTTTTTAAAAAATTTTTAAAAAAAGACTATATACTTGTACTTCGTTTCTGTATGAAGAAGCACTAGAAGGATACATAAGAAACAATAGTGACTGCCTATAAGAGGCAGAGGACTGGGAAGGGATGTATACACCTTTTTACAATGTTTTTTATTCTTCAGCAATATGAAAGTGTTAACTACCCAAAACAAAAAATAAGATTTAAAAAAATTAACTCCTGCATGAATGAGCAAAGCATATTATTAAGCAATGCTCAGATCATAGAATCTCAGAGTTAGAAGGACCTTGTGCTAACTCACATCCTACAGAAGATTCTCCTCTAAGTCTGGTGGATAAAGGCCATTCAGTCTCTCCTTGAACTGGTCTAGGGACAGGGAACTCACTATCTCTGGGGCAGCCCATTCTATACCAGAGTGCCTTGTACACTGTAAACACTTCAAATATCATGTGCCAAAGTCAACTTAATTATTAGGCAGAAGCCCACCTTCCTCCACGAAGCTCTCCCAGAATGGCTAACTGATCAAAGACTGCTTCCTAAGTCCTCTCAAATGGTTTTCTTCCTCTCTGGAAACTATATGCATGAGAAGTCCACATTGCTGTCTGATCTGACTGCATTTTATTTATTTAGTTATTTTTGCTGTGTTGGGTCTTCGTTTCTGTGCAAGGGCTTTCTCTAGTTGTGGCAAGTGGGGGCCACTCTTCATCGCGGTGCGCAGGCCTCTCACTATCGCGGCCTCTCTTGTTGCGGAGCATAGGCTCCAGACGCGCAGGCTCAGTAGTTGTGGCTCAAGGGCCTAGTTGCTCCGCGGCATGTGGGATCCTCCCAGACCGGGGCTCGAACCCGTGTCCCCTGCATTAGCAGGCAGATTCTCAACCACTGCGCCACCAGGGAAGCCCCCTGACTGCATTTTAAACCAATGGAGGCAGGGACCTCAGTTCCCTGTGACTCTTGGGTAATCAAAACTCAGAAGGCCACCAGCAGGAAGGGGCAGCCAGGCCTGCCTTGAGAGGGAGAGAAAAGGCACCCACAGGGCTGACTCCAGAGCCTCGAAGACACCACCAGAGAGAGGAGATAAAGAAAGTACTGTGGGTGTCAGAGAAGGAAAAGACCGTGTCTGGATATGGGAAATCCAGGGAGAAATCACCTTCTATTCTGCTCATCTTTAACACACCCACTTCAAGTATCAGCTTAGATGCCATGCCCTGCACGACAGCTTCTCTGATCCCAGCTGCATTTGAACTCCTAAGGAAACACTTCACTCTGCATAAACCTGCCTTGTGACACTTTGTGGATTCTGGGTGGGAGTTTTGGACAGTTACATCTGTGCACAGCTTTGTTTTCTCTCTACAATTTGGTTGTGCAAATTCTTCCCAAAGAGGGGTCAGAGTCTATCAACTTTTGTATGCCCCCTCCCTTCACAACATCCCCTGACTTAATGCCTGGTACTTGGTAGGTGCTCAATAAATGTTGAAGAAAAAAGGAAAGGAAAGAGAAAGGAAGAAAGATGACAGAGGAATGGAGGAAAGTGGGAGGAAGGAAGAAGGGATGCAAGGAAGAAGGATCACAGAAGTGCTCTCAGTTGGAAACAATACTCTATAAACAATGTATGGAGGCTCTTCTCCACGTTCCTCCAGTACGTGCCTCCTCTCCCTTCCAAGTGCCAACAAGAGGGTCTGGGGAGCAGATTTAATTTTCTATTGTCACCCTGGGGATAGTACCCCTGTGTCCTTAGCACCCTGTGGGGAAACCAACACTTCATGGATAGCACTGAATATGTGATCTGATGAGAAGTAACAGCTGCAAACTCATTTGGATGGTTAAGATTGCTCCGATCAACAACCTTGAGCAGGATCGAGGAAGATATAAGAAATCCATTCACACAGATACTCCCTTTAAGAACAGGAAGAAAAAAAAATTATTGGGCAGTCTAGTCACTGCGAAGTCAGAAGCTCAGCCATCCTTACTAACTGAGAGGAGAAAATGAAATGGGCCAGATATGTCTAATATAAAGTTTACATGAAGCTGGAAAAAAATGTGAACAAAACATGAAAGCGTTAGAAGCCAAATGATCTCAACCAGGTGGAAGCAATGGCACGCAAACAAGCTGAGGCTTGACAGAGATAAAACAAGTCTTGGGCTTAAAAATTTAGATGGAGAAACGTGATTAAAGAACAACAAATGTAATGGCCAACAAGCATATGAAAAGATACTGAACACTGCTAATAATTAGAGGAATGCAAATCAGAATCATAATGAAATCAGTTCATATCCATTAGGATGGCTACTATCAAACCCCCCCCCCACAAAACGAAGTAAGTGTTGATGAGGATGTGTAGAAATACAAAATGGTGCAGTCACTGTGGAAAACAGTACGGAGGTTCCTCAAAAATTTTAAATATCAATAGAATTACCACATGATCCAGCAATTCAACTTCTAGGTCTATATCCAAAAGAATTCAAAGAACAGTCTTGAAGAGACATTTGCACACCCATGTTCACAATAGCCAAAAGATGGGAGCAACTTAAGCGTCCATCAACCGATGAATGGACAAACAAAATGGATAAAGGAATGAATGGAAAAACGAAATGGATAAATGAAATAATAGATTAACATACAATAAGAAGGAAATCCTGACATAATGCTATGACATGGATGAACCTTGAGGATGTTATACTAAGTAAATAAGCCAATCAGAAAAAGACAAAATATTGCATGATTCCACTTACATGAAGTATCTAATGTAATCAAATTCATAGAAACAAAGTACAATAGTAATTTCTAGGGGCTTGAGGTGGGGGAAATGAGTTGTTCAATGAGTATAAAGTTACAGTCATGCACTGATGAATAAGTTCTAGAGACCTGTTGCATAACGATGTAATACAGTTAACAATACTGCAATGTACACTTAAAATGGTTAAGATGGAAAGTTTTACATTAGGTGTATTTTACCACAATTAAAACTGTTTTAAAAAGAACAAAAAATGTGAAAAGTCTTGGAGGTTTTAGTTGACCATCTACTTAACGTTTATGCAGCTACCAAAAAAGTAAATGTCGGACTTCCCTGGTGGGTCAGTGGTTAAGAATCCACCTGCCAATGCAGGGGACATGGGTTTGAGCCCTGGTCCAGGAAGATCCCACATGCCGCAGAGCAGCTAAGCCCATGCGCCACAACTACTGAGCCTGCGCTCTAGAGCCCATGAGCCACAACTACTGAAGCCCACGTGCCTAGAGCCCATGCTCTGCAACAAGAGAAACCACCGCGATGAGAAGCCCGCGAACCGCGACAAAGAGTAGCTCCCCCACTCACCACAACTAGAGAAAGCTGGCGCGCAGCAATGAAGACCCAATGCAGCCAAAAATAAATAAATACGTAAATAAATTTAATAAAAAAAGTAAATGTCACTTTACCTTAGGCTGTATTAAAAGGATACAAGGTGGTGGGGCTTCCCTGGTGGCGCAGTGGTTGAGAGTCCGCCTGCTGATGCAGGGGACACGGGTTCGCACCCTGGTCCGGGAATATACCACATGCCGCGAAGCGGCTGGGGCCGTGAGCCATGGCCGCTGAGCCTGCGCATCCGGAGCCTGTTTTCCGCAACAAGAGGCCACAGCGGTGAGAGGCCCGTGTACCGCAAAAAAAAAAAAAAAAAGGATACAAGGTGGGATAGCCACCTAACTGCTGAGCTGGTCAGTCTACCCCTAGGGTCCTAAGTTCAATTCTGAGTACCATACTTTGAAAAAAGACACTGACATCCCACACCAGGTCCCAAGGACAGTAATCACAGTTTTCAAGGGACCAGAAACCAAATCAAGACTGTGGTCTAAGCAGCTGCTAAAAGAACTGAAGCTGTTGAACCCCAAAAGTGGAAGACTCAGAGTGTGTGAATACCGTTTTCAGATACCTCAAAGAGCAGTTCTCCAGAAAAGGCGCTTTACCGAAACAATGCACAGAAGGCAGGACAAGACCAATGGGTAATTACAGAGAAGTACAGATCGTCTCATTCAAAAACAGTTGCTACAGGATTAAGTTCCTCTTTTGAGGAGCTGTGTAAGTAGACCCTTAATAGAAGATGACTAATGTTGAGTTCCTACTATGTAATTGCTATTATTAATTATATTTTGCAGACAATGAAACGGAGAAGAGTCAGGTATTCAAGTTCACAGCCAATAAATGACAGGTCTTGCCTGACTCCAAAGCCAGGCTCTTAACCACTAAGCTATTAGTAGCTACCAATGGAATACGGAAGATTTCTATATTGGGAAAGAAGTTGGGCTGATAATTCTTCTAACTTTAAGATACTACAATTAAGTAAATGAGAGAATTAATGTGAATAAAATAAAGAGAAGAGAGAATGAGTTAAAGTGGACACATTTGTGAATGTGTGTGACTACTGGGCAGTGAGGTTATATAACAGGTATGGTCTGATAAAAAACGCTTAACCGCCCAACTGTCTGTGACAGAAAGCAGAGCAACATAACCACAGGCATTGCCTGTCCTGGAGGAAACAAAAGAGCTAGAACTCCAAGTTGGGCTACAGGACACCCAGGATATAAGCAGAGGTTTGACCCTGGGAAGCCATAAGAAAGACTTGTGACAAGGTGTAAGAGCAGGGAACGGAAATTCCCTGAAGTAAAAAACTTCCCTACAGGGAAATGTGAGTAAGTCATCAAAAGCAAAGACAGGGGTTGCTGGCAAGGGCCACCATCAGCAGAACAGCATTTGCACTGTAACAGCAAAACAAGGCATCCCTATGGACATGAAGTTTTAATGGTGAGGTTTCTGTGAGTAGAAAAGCAGAGCAGGTTAGAGGGATTAAAGTACCTCTTATAAAAAATGTATGTATGTGTGTAACTCTCAAACCCATTGTCTCACCTCATCCTCACTTCAGCAATCTCTCAGAGATAAAAGGCAACAATGAGAAAAATGGGATCTGAAGTAACCCTGTAGTTCATAGGCCCAAGAGCAGCAACCATTCTCTCCCCCATAAAAACACAGTAAACATGTGCTACTTAGGGACAAGGGCACCAAACCCATTTCTGCCTCTTATTAGGTGTGTGCCTAAGGCAAGTCACTTTACTTCCGAGCTCCAGTTTCCTGTTGTAAAACGGGCCTCATAATATTTACCTCACATAAAGCACAGGGGAGAGGAAGAGCAGGAAGGGGAAGAGAAGCGGGAGTATGGGTGTTGTCATCCTCCCCCGCATCTCCTGGTAGCTGTGGGCGTGAATGAGCCACCTACCTGTTGGAGCACCAGGATCCCTCATCAGCAAAACTGGATTAACAATGCTTACTTCTTTCGATGACTTATGAGGATAAAGGAGAATGTGAATGAAAAGCACACCACATGTTGGCCAAACTGAACAAACTATGGAGGCCTCTAGTCAGAGACTGAGTTGGAAGCCTGCTTTTACTGCTTTATTATAGCTGTGTGATTTTATCCACAAACAGCAACCTCTCTGAGCCTCAGTTTCCTCATCTGTAAAATGTGACTGACAATAGTTCCTACATCACAGAATGGCTGTGAGATTCAGTGTGCCCCTGGCACACAGTAAGTACTCAGTAACTGAAAGCATTGCTGTTACTGCTTTTTTTCCTCCTCAGCTCTGACACAAGGCTTTTCTTGCATTGATGGGAAAAGACACAGACTCTGACATACGCACAGCAGTGTAGAAACTGAGGCCCAGGCTCAGATCTGGGATAAGGAGTCACCTGTACTGAGTGCCCAGTCCTCAACCCTCGCCTCAGCACCAGGTGGAGAGCATCCTCATCCCTGCTCGAGGAGCGCTTCTCTGCAAAGGCCAGGAAGGTGTGGGTAGGGGGCACATAGAGCAAGGCTGGGATCCGGTAGGTGACCCCTCTCTTGTCCTCCTGCTGGAACAGAGGGCTGTTGAAGGAGCACGATGTCATTTCTTCCATGACCTCTGCAAGGATAGGAGGCAGATAAACGTGTGTCCACATTCAAATGCTGGCTTGTATACAAGTTCTGCTCTATCATTCCATTTCTGGAGATCACTGGGAGGCAAAGATGTACTCAAATGTTTATTTTTTTATACAAAAGTAACATCATGATCTCAATCGTACAAAGCATAAAACAGGCACTCTCATTTAACAAGTCTCTCCTCCAGACTCTGGGAATCCTATGCAGCCTGTGTCAAGTGTCTCTCCAGAGAGATTCTGTATGTGCTTCTGCCGAGCATTCAGAGGTATTACCAGCCCGGATGGTTTCTCATGTCAGTTTCTTGGCGTGGCGTTTTTAGGCCATTCAGGTAATACAAACATAAACCCACATCCATATGAGGGAATGGCTGTGGTTACGAATTCTCCAGGCAGGTAGATGCGGATGATGTGTGCAAATTGGTCTCAAGTGAGTCTGAAGAAATATTAGACACACACACTTACGTATGTGTGTATGTATGTATGTACGTACGTATGTATGTATGCATGAAGAGACAAGGACAGAGACAGAGACAGGGAGGAAATGATATAGCAAATGGGGTAAAATGTTACAAATTGGTGATTGGTAAGTCTGTATGCAAGTTATATGGGAATCTTTGTCCTGTATTTTGTTTTTGTTTTTTGCGGTACATGGGCCTCTCACTGTTGCGGAGCACAGGCTCTGGACGCGCAGGCTCAGAGGCCATGGCTCACGGGCCCAGCCGCTCCACGGCATGTGGGATCTTCCCGGACCGGAGCACAAACCCGTGTCCCCTGCATCGGCAGGTGGACTCTCAACCACTGCGCCACCAGGGAAGCCCTTTTTTTTTTTAAAATAAATTTATTTATTTATTAAAAAGAAAAAGAATTCTCTAGGCAAACTTTCCCCTTCTATTGGAGCCTAGAAGCGGCAATCTTCTTTGTCATCTCTGTCAGTAGTAAGATTTCTTTTTCCTTCTCCATTTGATCAAAGGATACAGATTTTCAAGGCATCTAGCTTCATGCGGGGATCTCACTTCCAACCAGAGTCAAACCCCGATGGGCCCATAGTTTCATTCACTGTAACAGCAGGTATATTAAAGCCCAAGCTTCTAGGTAAGTGGGACATGCAAATATCTAGGGCAGCTGAGGTCAGGTAAAGGGGCTAACTTCTCCAGTTTTCAGTTTACTCTTGGTTTTTAGGCCTGGGGATTTCTCTTACTTTCTTACAAATTCAGCTATAAAAGACTTTGTTCTATTTATCCACCATTTTACAGGTTAGCTAGCCTGCCATAATGCTGAAAATGGAAATCTCTAGGTACATTTCTCAAAGAAAATCAGGTGTTCAACTTCTCAGAGGCCCAAAAAGGGAATCCAGTCAGACAGACAGAACCAAGCTTAGAATTACTATATTTTCTCTCACCACCCGTCATCCAAGCTCTGTCTTCTAAATCACTTGTAAAAATAATCAGGCTGTAAGAATGAGGCCCATAAGGCCTTACTCACTTATTTAATAAATATTTCTGAGTGCCCACTCAGAAAGTTAGACCATAAGGTAGGTGCTGAGGAGACAGATTGAGGACAATCAGAGGTCCCTGCCCTCAAGAAACCCACATCCAGGTGAGCGAAACAGACATATACATAGACAATTACAATATCATGTAGTAAGTGCTACTTTAGAGGTCAACATGAGAGCATGCAGGAAAACAGAAAAGGGCAACTGTCTAGATGAAGGCAGCAGTGGTGGAGTTTTGGAGGGGTAATAAGCCACGGGATCTCCTGTCTCACATTCTCATACTCTGGGCCTGGAACATTCAGATAGGCAGACCTCACTCCCTCACCTCCTTCAGCTCTATTCAAACATCATCCAATCAGTGAGGCCTTCCCTGACAACTCCCTTGCCCCTCTCTATCCCCTTTTCCTGCTCTATTCTCCATGCCACTTACCATCACCCGTATATTATACTTATTTAATATACCCCACAGAATAGAAGTTCCATGAAGGGCAGGGATATGTCTGTTTTATCCCCTGATATGCCTCTACACCTAGAACCTTGTCTGGTAATTCACAGGCACTTGACAAATATTCATTGAATGACTGAATGAATGGGTGAGCTGGATCTTAAAGGATGAACACTGGGTTATAGCCAACTGAAGGGTGAAAAGGAGAAGGGCAGAGGGAGTGGATGTGAAAAGCCTAAAGGTCACAGAAAACACAGTGAGCTGTGGGGACTCGCAGTAATCCAGTAGACTACAGTGGAGTGCAAAAGCTGTGAGCAAAGATGGGACTGAAGGGGTCAGGTGAGTGCAAATCCTGGGAGGCTTTGATACCTTATTAAGGTGTTTATTCCCACAGGTAGGGAGCCACTCAACAGTGCTTGGCAGAGGAATGTCAAGATCAAGTATGCATTTAAGACCTCTCTCTCAGGTAACCTTCGGGGCAATGAACTGAAGGGGAAAATTGCACTGCTCTGGGCTACAGCCTCGAGGTGTCAGTCAAGACAAGCTTTGTCACTGACAGCATATGAATGATTTATTTAGCATATGAATAATTCATTTCACTTGTTCCTAACCTAAAGCAGGAAGAATCACAGCTCACTATCTGAGGGGGTGGGGAGGTGGCCTCCTGTGTCTGGAAGGAAAGCCTCCCCTCATTCCAAATCTGGGCTCTCAGTTGTCTTCCTCACACCATACGTGAGCACACCTCTCTCCCCAATTCAGGCTCTCCTGCCAGAGGGTCAGGCTTTCTTCTAAGTAAAGATCTGTCCCTGGGCCAAGCTGGCGTAATGGTTTAGAACATAAGGCGTGGACCAGGCCAGGACTGCATGAACTTGGGCATGTTATTTAACTTCTCTATACTTCTGGATCCTCATTTATAAGATTCAGTAGAATGAGTGAAAGAATTAAGTTAAAAAGTTTAAGTGTCTGTTACAGGGCCCATGACACAGTATGAGCTCAATATAGGACAGTTACTATTTTTAGACTGTCAATCACTACATATTCTAGTTTTACTCCTTGAAACCTGTGGATGACGATGATGATAACGACAACCACAATTACAACTCCCCTTCTTGAAAGTATTTGAACCCCTCTGCACCTCTGGGAGAGGTCATATTTTAAACTCTTATAAGATATATAAGTTAACATCAATACTGTTAATCACCAGCCAACACATGATTATAGGTTAATGCCAAAACAGGATGTCTCTGGGCGGTAAGAAGAATGAAACACAGAATAAGCATGGGAATGGGCAGGGAGGACTAGGAAAAAAGAAGAGGAGAGGAAGCGGAGAGAGCACGTAAGGAGAAGCACAAGTTCTTACTGCGTGACCTTGTGCTAGTCAGTTAATCTCTCTAGGTCTTGGATTCCTTGCTTATAAAATGTGGATGACAATAATACCTACCTAAGATGACTGAATGAAGAGCCACTCAAAAATGTTTTATAAACTTTAAAGCACTATGTAAGTAAAAGTATTATAAATTCAGATGTCTTCACAATTTCACTTATGGCTTTGCTATCACTATAACAATTAGAGTCCCTATCATTGCTTTTCATTAATTATGCTGATCATGTTGATGACAATGGTAACACAGGTGGTGACTCTGGCATTGATACCCAAACTGTTTTGCACAAACCATAAGCCGGGAGCTAGGAATAGAAAAGAATCAGATACAGTTCTGCTCTGGAGTTGTTCATTTTAGCAGAGGACTCAACGTGATTAACTGCCGCTCCATATAATCACCTTTCAATCAAGCCCTCCCTGCTCTCTCACTGGAACAAAGTATAGTGTAGCATGGACTTTGAAGACTGACTTGGCTTTGACACTAGCAAGTCAAATTCACCTCTGAACCTCAGTTTCCTCACTTGTAATGGAGATAATATCACCTATTTCTCAAGCTTTCTCAAGTGTAATTCCACAGACTCCAATTAATCCAGAGTGCCAAGCAGCCTCCAGTGAACCCCAGAAGGAGGCCTCCTTTCTTTATTCACCCCTAACTATTAATGCTTAAGGAGCACCCATCACACGTCAGGCCTCTGAAGATCCTGTGGTCCAAACCCTTCTCATGGTACACGTGGGAAAACTCAGGCCCACAGAGGGGAATAAACTCCTCTAAGGCCACACAATGAGTCAGTAACAAAACCCGGACCAAGGCCCAAGTCTCCTAAGTTTCAGCTCAGGGCTCTCTGCTGCCCACAGACCCCCTTTAGTAAGAAGGGTTTTCCCAGTCTCAGATCCCTTTCATCTCTAAATAAGTTTGGCTTCTGTTGAAGGAAAACAAAAACAGACCTAGCCAAAAATACTTTCTGGCTCTGTCTGAGACCCTAGCCATCTGGGGTGTGTCTGACCCAATATTCCCCGCAGACTGGATTCCCTAAGCCCAGAAAGTGCTGCCAAACCTGTCCCCAGAGTCACAGCGCCCCACGTTTTGGGGGGCTCTCCAGTCTCCCAGCCCCACTCACCTGCGCGGGACCCCGGCTCCTCCATCTCTCTTGGGGTAGGTCTGGGCGCGGGGTCAAGCCCTCACGTCTCGGACACTGAAGCCTGGGAGAATGACCAACGCTGGGGAGACAGGAAAGGGACTGCGGACGCGGACACAAAGCACGAAAAGTAAAGAAGCAGGCCGACAGAGACCTCGAGAGGCCGGCAGCGGGGCTGACAGACCCAAGACACCGAGAAGAGCAGGTAGGAAAGCCGGTCCCGGACGCGCAGAGGCCACAGCCCGCCTAAGGTTGGGACAGGCCGTAGTCTGCGGCGGGGAGTTAGCCCCGCCCCCTCGGGCCGTTTCATTCAAGCCCCACCCCTCTCCTTCCGCCGCCCGGTCCCTTCGCGGCCCAGGCTGGGATATCCCTCCTCTCTCCGGGCCCCAGTCCCGACCCAGCCGTGGCTTAGGATTTGCCCCTTCCTCTCCCACCACCCGACCACCCCCCCCTCCAATGGCTGCGCAGCTCCCTGGCTCCGCCCCTCACCCCTCCATTCCGCTCCTCTGTCTTCAGTCCCCTTTTCCCGCGCTCGCACCTATTGGTTGCCGGTCTGTTGATGGGTATCACGCTTAAAACTTCCCTGGACAGCTTGAGAGTGGAGCGAAGGTTCCGGGCCTCAGAGGGGACTCAACTAAAAGGTCCAGAGATTCAGAGCATTGGGCAACCCACCCTTAAGAAAATAAAAATTATATTTATATGTGTTATTTTATATATGTATATATTTTTTTGAGAAAATAATAGTATTAGATTATGACCCGCTGAATAAGATAAAAACCCACAAGTCCACATCGATATGCACAATTGAATATATATTATAAACAGGCGAGAAAGGAAAGCTCTTCCTATAGTAGAATTCCAATTTATGAAAGTAGTCCATGCACAGGCTATTTGAACATATTACGGTTTATGCTAAACACCTGCTTTCCTTCTGAGAGTCTGGAATTTTGAAACATGCTGGGAAGAGAGTGCCCACGTGGCCAATAAAAACTGTGGGTGCTGAGTCTCTAATGGGTTCTCTAGACAGAAACATGGCACACATGCTGCATTTGTGCTGGGGGGAAAGTGTGTGCTTAGTGTGATCCCTCATGAGAGGGAGAGAGCATAAGAAAGCCTATACATGGATTCTTTCAGACTCAGCCTGCAGTCCTTTTCTCTGATGATCCAGTGTGTGTCCATACTAAATACATTGCTGTAATCAATCTTAGCCATGAGTACAACTATAGCCTAGTGCTGAAACCGTGTAACTCCAACTGGGACTTGAACCCACCGGCCGGGACTCAAACCCAGCCAAAATCCAGATTGGGACTTGAACCCATGGTCTTTTGACCCATGGTCTTTTAACTGAGATCACACACCTGGTCTCAGGACTTAATGAAGCTCAGGTTCTTGATGTCTCATCGCAGAAAGAATTCAGTGAGAGACAAAGTCAGAGGTAAGACGTGGATTTATTTGGAGAGAAACACACTCCACAGACAGAGTGTGGGCCATCTCAGAAGGCGAGAGCAGCCCCAGGGTATGGGGTTGTCAGTTTTTATAGAGGTGGGTGATTGCATAGGCTAATGAGTGGGAGGAGTATTCCAGCTATTTGGGGGAAGGGGCGGGGATTTCTAGGAATCAGGCCACTGCCTAATTTTTTACCTTTATGGTCAGCCTTGGAACTATCATGGCGCCTGTAGGTGTGTCATTTAGCTTGCTTATGTGTTACAATGAGCATATACTGAGGGTACAGTGGAAGTTGAGTCGTCTGCCACCTTGGACCTATTTGGTTCTAATCAGTTTATGTTGTGTCCTCGGGTTATGTCATTCTTTTAAAGGTTGTGCCCTGCCCCCTTCCCTCCTGTTTCAGTCCTGTGAGTACTTCTAGCAAATCTCTGAATCTAGGGCTGAATCTGAATCTTGGGAATGCTCAACCAAATACAATATATAAAGTTTTAAAACATGTAAAATAATAATACTATGTATTGTTAGTGGACACATGTGAAGAAAATGCAAAGGAATAAGAAACAGCAAATTCAGGATCATAGTCACTTCTGGGAGTGCAGGAAGTAGGGTGTGATTAAGAAAACCCAAGGGACTTCAATTGTATCGGTAACATATATTTTTTAAAGGTGGCAGTGGGTTCATGGGTGTTCACTTTATTATTCTTTAAGCCTTATTATTTGTCTAAAATATTTCATTTTTAAAGATTGGTTCATACAAAGTCCTAGGGTTTTTCACCGGACCTCTCCAAGCACACAATCACCAACTTGGATCACCAAGTCAATTTTAGAAAAGTATCTAGAGCTAATGCCAAATCTCTCTCAGTTCTTCTTTGCTGGTCTCAGTCTAATGCCCGAGGCAGTGAAGTTTAGTAGCAATCGCTATATTTGGAGGTGAAGCAATCTTGACTCCAATCCTGACTTCCCACTTCCTAGCTGAGTAAGCTTGGCAAGTTGTTTAACTTCTGTGCCTCAGGTTCCTCATCTGTAAAGAGGGCACACTTGGCCCCACTCCTCATCCATAGCTCAGATCAAATACATTTCATTTCCTGTATAAGGACCTTCCAGGCCTCCATGCTAAACAGTTATTCCTCTTCTGGCCTCCACAGCACTTTGTACAGATGGCTTCTGATGAATTTTGTGAGTTTGCCACTTCATCGGCTACTCTGATTAATCTGATAGAGATGGAACCAAATCTATTCTAATGGTCTCATACAGCATTTAATTAAGGATACTATCCAAGTATACGTCCAAGCAACAGGATGAGACCAATCTGCAGAATTGACCTCAACCACAACCAAGGGCCTGGACCCAACCAGCTGGAAAAACAACAACCGAAAAACCAACCATAAGCCATTAAGATCTATCTTGGAAAGCCAGGTGGTATTCTCTAGTTTATGCATTGACCTGTACCCTGCCTAAGGCATTAATCCAAGTACAGCAGGTTATATTAGCCATTGCAGACTTTACCTTGGCTCACAAGGAAGTCAAGAACAATTCTATCATTCATAACCACAGTGGCCAGTGAGTTGAAGTTCAACTGAATGCCTTCCAGAGCTGAGGTATATTATTGATGGCTTCAGCTAAAGTTGGGAACGAATTTCATATCAACATTTCTAATAGGACAACTCTCAAGACAGGGATAACCTCCTGCAGAAGTGCATAAATGAATAGGTCACTCCTCCAGGAAGCTCCCCTGTGTAACCAAGGGTAGCCTCATGTTGGAGCCATCTCCACAGTCATCTGAAGGCTACATGATCTGCTGATGGTGCTTCCTTAAACGCTTGAAGGTTGATCATGACCCTCCCTATGGTGCAAGACACCATGTTTTCAGGGAGGAAGGCAAGTTAATGCCTGGCTTCCACAAAGGAGGTATAGTCCTGGGGACATATATGATGTCGCTGTTTACAACTGCTGGGGCCTCCCAAGTGGGATCTACATCATTCAGGGGACACAGATTGACAATGTCCCTAATGTAAACCTCTTGCCCACCTGGTAGGCCTCAGAGTTCGCAGTTCATTTATTTATTTATTTATTTATTTTTATTTTTGGCTGCATTGGGTCTTCATTGCTGCATGTGGGCTTTCTCTAGTTGTGGCAAGCAGGGGCTACTCTTCGTTGCGGTGCGCAGGCTTCTCATTGTGGTGGCTTCTCTTGTTACAGAGCACGGGCTCTAGGCACAGAGGCTTCAGTAGTTATGGCTCATGGGCCCTAGAGCACGTGGGCTTCAGCAGTTGCGGCGCGCAGGCTCAATAGTCACGGCTTGCAGGCTCTAGAGCGCAGGTTCAGTAGTTGTGGCACACAGGCTTAGTTGCTCCATGGCATGTGGGATCTTCCCGGACCAGGGATCGAACCTGTGTCCCCTGCATTGGCAGGCGGATTCTTAACCACTGCACCACCAGGGAAGTCCCCCCCAGTTCATTTAGAATCATTGAAACCAGTCCTTATTTTTGGAAAGACTGCCTGATAGGTTAGTCCAACCTATCCCATGCATCCACGCCACAAGTCAGGTAGCATCTGTCCATTCCACAGGATAACTGAGCAATAGCTACAAGAATGAGGGTGAGGGACACATGTCTAGAGCCTGTGACATGTGTTTTTCATGAGACTATAGGAGCTGAAAGTACACCTGATGTTTCTGATAAGACTTCTCAGTAGGTTAAAAGGAATGGTTAAAAGGAATCAAACTGTGGTCAGAGCCATCTTGTGGGGGATAGCAAACCTAGCAGTTAGTTGAGTTTAAGGAGCTTGCAGTAGTTTGAGATAGTTGTACTAGGCCATTTTCCTTTGAGAGGAAGGCTCCAGGGTTGACTCTTTTTCCAAATGTTATGATCTAGGACTATGTCAAAGCAACAAGAGAATCCAGGTAGCTGAACCAGAATTAAATGTGAAGACTCTAGGCCTCCTTCTGGCTTAGCTGTCACCTGGGGGATGTAGCACCTAGGCTGGCCTGCAAATGCTATTAGGGCAAAGAAACATCATGCCCAACAATGGTCAGGGCATATACTAAATTTTCAAAATAAACCTGTACAACAATCCCCAACCCTTCTCATTCTGATCATTACTCAGTAAACAGCTGTGATAGTTAATTGTATGTGTCAGCTTGCCTGGGACAGATACTTTGTGTCAATTTAACTGGGATAGTGCCCAGATATTTGGTTAGGCATTATTCTAGGTATGTCTGAGGGTATTTCTGGAAGAGATTCCTATTTGAATCAGTAGACTCAGTAAAGCAGACTGCCCTCCCCGATGTAGGTGGGCCTTATCCAATCTGTTGGAGGCCTGAATAGAACAAGAGTTGGGGTAAGGGAGAATTTACTTTCTCGGCCTGACTGCTTTCAAGCTAGGACATCAGTCTTCTTCTGCTTCTGGAATGGAGCTTACAACATTGGTTCTCCTGGTTCTCAGGCCGTTGAATTCATACTGGAACTACACCAGCAGCTCTCCTGGGTCTCCAGCTTACAGACAGAAGATCATGGGACTTCTCAGCCTCCATAATCATGTGAGCCAATTCCTTATAATACATCTCTTTACATATACACAAACATATCCTATTAGTTCTGTTTCTCTGGAGAACCCTAATACAGCAGTAAAGAGGAAGCGATTGATCTGGGGACAGCCACATTCAGTGACCACACCGCCTTACCAAGATGTATTGACTAGAATGAGATGAGAGGTAGAATCAGAAATGTTTTGAGTACATTTTTTGAGTAGGCTGTTCCAACACTCAACAACACTATATGCTTGTGGATGAAAGAGTGGAAGGTCCATCAAATACCTTGACTATTAGCCCACTATTGGGTGACTTTTGCAATAAAAGGTGTACCATAGTCAGACTGCATATAGACAAGAAAAACATAAAGCAGATTGGTTTCAAGACCAAAAATAGTGTGGTTGGAGTTGGTGGATTGGACTAGAACAACCCTGTAACCTGAAAAAGTGTCAC